TATTTATAATAAAATAAATAAAAAACGCTTTTCCATTTCTCTAAAAAATATAAGTTAATAAAGAAAAATCACATCTTTGATATTCATTTATTCATTAGAATAATAAACTCTATGTCAAAAATATATAGTTTTAGTAAACAATGCAAAAATTTGTGAAAGTTTCTTAAGATAATTTGAGCAGGCAAATAGGATGATCTGCCAATGGATTTTTAAAAAATCCTTAAAATAACATAATTTTATATTATGCACTTGAAATAAGAGACTGCTGATTTTTCTTATTTTTACTATAAATTGTCTTATTCCATTAACAAAGTGTCTCACTTAGCTTCTTAATTCAATTAAAAAATGCACTTTTTTAGAAATATTGACTTACTCAGATTTTTTTTTTTTTTTTTTTGCTGTGGTAGCTTTGCCAGCACAATTATTGGTGGCTGTTATTTTTTAGTACAAACAATGTTTTATCAAGACAGGGTTCTACTTCTGGGACATTTATTCAATTTGTAAGAGGCCCCCTTCAGAATCCTGGGGGATCTCTCACATCATGTTGTTTCCATTTCGACGCCACAGACTCTCCTTAAGATTTAGTTCTTGGGGCGAGATCACATGGGTAGACTGGATAACTGATTTTAGATCTCATTTGACCATCTACTTGTTTGTTGACAATATATTTTAGATCATTGTCCAACTTAAAAAGCCTACCTTTGTAGTTTCTGAAAAGCCTAAAAGCTGGCTCCCTAACCAGCTTTTAAGAGCCTAGAGAAACAGGCCCACAGAATCAGGTTCACCTCTATTCCTAATAGGCAGCATAGTGTGTATATCCACATATGGTTTTAGCTTCAGTCCTTGTGTTTGGTGAGCTCACGTTGACACTGTTGTGTTAGTAGGACAGAGATGTTGATCAACTTTAAAAAAAAGTATAGTTTTTTCATAGGATATAAACTGCTACAGGGTGGCAGAGATTTACTTTGCAGCAGGACAGTGACCCTTTACATGCAGCCAGCTCTACAAGATAATGGTTTCAATCAAAGCATATATGATGTTAGAATGGCTAAGTTAAAATCCAGATCTAATTCAAATGAAAAAGATGTGCTAAGGATTAAAAACTTAGGTTTTAAAGAACAGGAATCATCCCACATCTGTATGTACAACAGATAAACATGGCAGATATTAATCCAGTGATATTAATCCTCCTGTCCCAGGTATGGTTTCAGAACCGCAGAGCCAAATGGAGGAAGAGGGAGAAATGCTGGGGCCGCAGCACGGTGATGGCTGAGTATGGACTGTACGGAGCCATGGTGAGGCATTCCATCCCTCTGCCTGAATCCATCCTCAAGTCCGCCAAGGATGGCATCATGGAGTCATGTGCTCCCTGGCTGCTGGGTAAGACCTGGATCATAAAGTTTGTGAAACCCTCATCCTCATTCTTTTGCACCTTTAAAACCCTCATTTAGACATGAGGAACAGAGTTTTTTTCCTCTTTGAGGCACATTTCATGCACATGTTTGTTGTCATTGTGCCAGCATGAACCTAAATCCAACAGACAAGTAATTAATTGCTGTAACTATATTCTAAACCAGAACTATTTTTGCTTGCTATTTTCAGTCCAAGATGGCTTACCAGTGAGCAGAAGTTATTCTAAATCTGAATACCCGCAACTCTTTACAGGGATGCACAAAAAGTCCATAGAGGGAGCAGCTCCCCCGTCAACAGGAAAGTGTGATGCTCCGCAGCAGCCGAATGCTCCGAGGCCAGAGGACGTTGAAGTGGAGGAGAAGAGGTCGGAGGGAAAGCCTGTCATTTCTAAAGAGGAACTGAGAGAGAACAGCATTGCTGCTCTAAGGGCCAAGGCTCAGGAGCACAGCGCCAAAGTGCTGGGGACAGTTTCTCATGACAGACCGCTGGAGGGCAAACAGGAGTTCCAGGGGCCTGAAGAGAAGGCCAGTAATCCAACTAGTCCAGAAGAGGAGCAGAGAAGTCCCTAGAACTAATTCAGAGTCTAGACTGTCATTGTGAAATGAGACTGCTGTGGATTAGCTACATTTAGTTTAAATCTGGATTAACTGACTCGGATTTCTGTCCTTCACTGACTTCCTCTAACTGGGCCTCATCTGGACTTCTATTAACTTGTGAAAGGAACTTGTTGGTTGCTACCAAGAAGATGCAAATGCACTTTTTTCTGATGTGTTTTCAGACGTTCTCCAGTTTCTTCTTTAAATATTAGAGGACCTGACAGAGTAGCAGCAATAGACGATATTGTAAATATACCTTAAAAACAGTCAGATGAGTAAAAGCTAGATGTAACAGTGCATTTATTGCAATGAGTATAATTTAATTTGTGTCTCTTTCTGACTGTGCTTAAACAACTATTAAATTGAAGCATTTTAGAGGAACCATCCCATCAGCAGTAAGAGAAAATTGTTGTTCTATATCATGCTGTATATATAAGGATATATAAATCTTTAAAATGTCTTTCATGTAGTCTTTAAATGTCAGTGTTTTTTATTTCATTATGTATAAGTCAAAAGTTAAAACATAAAATAGAGACGACTTTATTAAATCTGTTTCCCATGCCTGTGTAACTCCTCATTGCCATGAATTCATGATAGATGTAGTGTAGATTTTTGTTGCTTGATGCCCTGCTGGCTGCAGTCATTAGGAGATGGTCTGAGATGCATGCTTACGTTAACCCTCTGTAATCTGTGGCAGTTGAAAGCCCTCGGTTTCAGATTAAATGAGGGGAGCAGCACTTTTGGGAGATGGGAAATAGAATAAACGCCTCAAAGCAGGGTCAACATCTGCCTGAATTCAAATGACTTTTAAATGCTGAAGCACAATCTGTTAATCCTACTTTCACAATACTTAACAAAAACAAGTTTATCTATTGAAAGTCTTCACTTTCTTCTGGGTGTTGCTAATGTGTTGAAGAGGGTATTTTAGGAAGACGGAAAATTCTTTACTCTTTGACCTTTACTCTTCTGATCAAGCTAACAGGGCTTCACAATGACAACACCAACAATTGAGCTGCTTTGCATTCACCTCATCTCAGTCTTTTTTTTAACCTCACCCTATCAGCTCCTATCGTCTTATATCAGTTATTCTCATTTCATCTCATCTCATCTCATATTATCACGTTATATCCTTGCATGACTCCATCTCACACCATCTAGGTTGTTTATCTCGCCTGAACTGAATCAACCCACTCCTACTCACATGGTAATGTCTAATCTCATCTATTCCTGTTTGATTTCTTTTCAGCTTATCCAAGTACATTGAAAATAAGTTCACATCAACTTTCCTTTTTATTGCAGCTTATCTCGTCTCGTTTCATTTAATCTCATTAAGAGTACCGGTATGTTCATCTTAAAGCATTACATGTCTGCTCTAAAGACAGGAAAGTAAAAAAAAATGGTTTTATGCTCAAAGTTTTGAGAAAAGGGTAGAAAGATTTCAGAAAGATGTTCTAAACATAAAAAAACAACAACAAAAAAAAACAATCTGAAGTAGGCTAAACGGTCTTGAACATTAGCACAGCATGTCTGTATAGGGAAGTTAGAGAACAGATGGGAAACCAAGTCATTGACATCATTACTCTAGAAAGGGACTCTAAGCTGTGGGACCCCCACAAACCACTGTTAAAGCCATTATCATCAGATAGAAAAAGCATGGAAGAGTGGTAAACTTGGCAGTGGTCAGCCTGTCAATTAATCCAAGAGCAGATTCATGACTCATTCTGGACGCTATAAAATAACCCAGAAGAACAGAGCAAAAAGAAAAATAATACAAAAGGCTATGCCACATCTTAATATAAGTATTCTAGTCCAAGGCTGCACTTGGATTCAACTAAGTTGCTGTAAATCACCTTAAACAAGACTATCATACTCAATAATAATCCACTTTGGCAAATTGAGACAATTAAGGAAATATGAGGGGTTCAGGTTTTCTCTACTGTAAACACCTGATGGGAGGCATTGCCTCAACACAACACAACTCATACACTGCAAAAACAATCAGAAATAAGTAAGCATTTCTTAAATTAAGTGCATTTACCCTTAATTTGAGTAGGTAAATAAGATGATTTGCAATGGAATGAGTATCTTAACTCTTAAAATAAGATAATTAGATAATATGTACTTGGAATAAGACATTACAATTGTTTTTTTCTTATTTCAAAGTGGCAAAGTGTCTCACTTACCCCCTTAATTCAAAGAAAAATTTACTTATTTTAAGAAAAAAACGTTTAAGGTTTTAAATTCAGGACTATGTTTGTTTGGAAATATTTTTTCCTTTGCCTGATTTGAACCCTTCTTATTTGTTAACTAAGTCTTATTTTGTCTGATATTACATTCCTTATATGTATGGAAAAAAGAAAGAAACAAAGAGAAATATTTAACCGTGAAACCTCTTTTTGTTGGAGCACTGTAGACATTTTTTCATAATTTCATTGAATGACATTTATAAGACGTTACGGTTGACAAAAAAACAACAACAAACAAACAAAAAAACAAAAAAAACTACCACAGGTGGATGTTATGGCAAAAAACCTATATGGAGAGTTTTTTTCTAATTGGAGTTGAAACAATTTAATTTTGATATCCATCTAAGCCAAAAGTCTTCAACGTTTTCCAGGCCAAGGACCCAAAACTGATGGCGCGATGGAGCGGGGACCCCCTAATTATATATATTGTATGAAATTGTGTTATATGTCAAACTTTTCCTATAGTCACTCTATTACATATGGAGCAATGTAACAAGTATTTCTGATTCTGATTCCTGGTTGATGGGAAAGGTGTTGTGAATGAAACTGTGCCCAGTTTGAAAGAGCTCCTGTGATGCATTCAAGACAAAGACATCTTCTGTCTCCATTTATCGGTTTACTACAGTGTGTTGAATTCATGTTAATGTGGATTTAAAAACATTTCAATTAGTGGAAAAAAATTGCAGGGGGAACTATTAAAAAAAAAATAAAAAATGACCCCCATGCAGTACCTCCATGGACCCCCTAGGGGTCGCGAACCCCCTCTTGAAGACCTACGATCTAAGCCCATTAAAACTCTCAGAAAAATATGCACAACAAAATCCTGTACAAACCTATGACAATAATTTTGGCATGTTCATAAAACTCTTCCAATGTGAAAAGAAAAACATTTAAAACATGGACCAATGCTATTATCTTTAGACTGTAATGTACATCTAAATTCTGTTGTACCCTTGAAAAACAATGAAAAATAAAGACTTCTGATTCTTATTAAATATCGGAAATGTTTTTAAAAGTCATATCCCTGTTATTGAATAAAATATTGCCATTATACATATTTAATCTCTGCCCACCCCTAAAAATAAGGCATACAAAATTTCTCCCTGAGGGAGATAGGAAAACAATCTCTCAGTGGGGCCAATAGATATGCAGAGCAAGGATTATACTTCTAAAAGTGCAAAAGAGCTGTTTAATCCTCTGGAAGTGGAGTTGAATATTAGATCAGATTTGCAGAAGATCAGGCTGTTTCTATTGAAAATGATGAGGAACTGACAATATCCCTCATGATAGGCTGTTTGTGGCTTCAAGACCATCATAAAATTATTTTTAATCTATGCAAAGAGACTGAGGAGCTTTAGGAAAAGATTTTGTCTAATGCATATTTTGAGAGATATCACTACCTTGATAAATAAAATCTATGCAGATAATATTGCAAAGTATTTTAGCTCCAATCTTATGCTGATTTGGAGTTAGGCAAAGGCACATTTTGTGGAAATGTAGTTTTGTTCTGCCCCCTGCTGGAAAATTCTATAGCTACAACTAAGGCCTTTTCCCTGCACTACTTGATATTTTTTTCTTAGTTTAGATAACCCAAAAGCTTCAGAGATAAGAGTTTATTTTTAATTTTATGATAAACTACCAAACTCCTGCCTTAGTGGCAAAAACTAGAAGCTAAACTAAGTACTGTTGAACTAAGATTGATAATGTTTTGCAAATTATAGGAACGGATACCTGACATGATTTTCAAGCATAAAGCCTGAGTCAAAGGGTGGCTCTACATTTGTAACAGCATTTTAGTCATAGAACTAATTGACCCCAAATCTGCTTATTCTTTACGTTTTTTCAGATGTAATATTGACTTTTTTTCTTTAATTAATTCAACTCAGTCTTTAAAGCATAGTACATCCTTGCTTTTCATGAGTTTTAACACTCACACACACGCACTAATACTCTATCCCATTCCATTAATTCGCTCTCAGTGTTATTTCCCTTGTTATTTTTATGTTTATTAAAATGATCCTCTTTTTCTTTGAATAAAGAAAACATACATACATGATGATCACACACAAGAACAAAACACATGCAAAGGGAAATGGTTCAAGCAGCAAAAACAACTGAAAGTTAAGAAAAGCTGCAATCAAGCAGTGCTCCAAACCTCTGGGTGTCAATAGTCATCAGCTCAATGTGACCAGATTTATAACAAAGGTATAAACGGGATGCTCAGAGAAAATAGGGTCGATCAGAATAGTGCAAATTAGTCAGGACACTTTTAAAAATTGATTTTACGTATTATTTAAAAACAAGCCTTATATTCAAAGAACTTTACGTTCTATTGAAAAAGCACACATACAATCTTCACCCCACCCACGAAAAAATTTTCTGCAAAATCAAAGTTTACTTTTCAAACGATGCAATTTCCTTCCAGGATTCAAATTCAATTCAGTTTATTTATATCGGGCCAGTTCATCATTTATAATTCATCATCTCAAGGAAATTTACAATTCAACCAGATCCTTCAGTAAAATTGATTGAAAGTTTTCTATCTAAGGAAAAGTTGAATGCATCGACTAATTGACTGAAAGACACCAATAATTATTGTAACAACAGTGGAGAGGAAAACTCCCTTTTAACAGGAAGAGATCTCCAGCAGAACCAGGCTCAGTGTGAGCGGCCATCTGCTGAGGCCGACTGGGGTTCAAGGAGACAGAGGCGGACATACAGAGAGAAGCAGAGATATAAAAGGCAACTGTCAACCAGCTCCACAGGCGACCCCGTCCAGGAAACACTCAGCCAGGCAGAAGAGCTTTGAGCCAGCTCCCATGTCAGAAGATGAAGAGAGCACATCCAGTTAGTAACAAACAGGACTACACTGAAAAACAGGCCAAGCTCCAACATCTATGAACAAAGGTGTTGATGGCAGCAGCACAGCTGATGTTTCTCTCTGGGATGGTGTCACAGCCAAACAGGACACTTTTTTGTTTGCAGATTACACAATAACAACTATAAAAAAAAAACAACAAAAAACATTAATAAGAACCATTTGAACATTGTTGAGATAATGATACATGATGTTGAATAATAAAAAAACAAACATTTAATCTGTTTCTATTTTGATATTACACTTCCTACAGGCTGTCTTGTAAAAAATTCTACACAATAATTTCATACTCAAAAACTCAGAACACACAAAAACCATATATATATATATGGATATATATGGTACAGTATATCGTATTATGCCTCTAACTGAGGCAAGTGATATATGGTGCAACACATACAAGATGAACTCTGACTCTCACTGTGCAACAGTTTTTTTTTTTTACACATTCCCTGAAAGCATCCCTCTTCTTCTTAGATGTCTGCTCACAATTTAAAAATGTAATCCCCATAACCGCAACAATTTCCAGCAAAATCAAACTTTACTTACCAAATATTATGAATCCTTCTCAGAACCCTATTATATTTGCAAGTGACTTATGCACACCATCAAACAAAAAACCAAAACATTTATAAGAACCATTTGAACAGGAGTGAGCCCAGTGTAAAAACAGTGTGAATAAAAATGACAAATTATAACATATCTTTTTCTCTTGCTCGTTATATTTGCTGAAAAAGAAAAAAACAGAACACACAAAAACAGCATATCTTATAAACTGTTCAATATATGTTACCTCTCCAAAAACTTACATCAAGCTATTTAAAAATTTTGTATGATACGTAACAGCAAAAAAACAAAAAACAAACAAATTATTTTTTGTCCTTCCATGCATTACAATGTTGGCCTCCATTGTCATGATCCTGCCCTTTGTTGCCTTTTTCGTTCTGATT